AATTCAGTCTTCTCAAGTGTGAGAGGGTGGATGCGTATGTCAAACGATTTAACACCTGCGACACTCCAGCCCTTGTACCAGCTGCATTTGCTTGCCCCCAGTTTCCAGTGGCAAGTGAATATTTGAGGCCACTCGTAATGGTTTTAGCTTTGATGGCAAATTGCAGATTAAGATCCTTTCCATTGTCAACACACTGCAACATGCATTAAATATGTAAATATAAAACCAAATAAAATAGAAATTTAATAAACAGGGTTCATGTAAAAAAAAAAAAAAAAATCAGGGTTAATGTAAGCAACCTTCTGTGCATAAGCTCTCACATCCTTAGTCAACTTCCTGAATAGCTGCAATTACATAAACAGTTCTGTATTGGCAAAAAATTCATATAACCTCTAATTTCCACTAAAAAAACCATACATTTCGAAACAAGCCTCCGAGTAAGGGACCAGCAAGATCAAGCCTCTTGTTGCCATAATGATCCCTGTCATCTTCTGGCCTCCGTCCTAGGGCACATAGTAGAAGCCTGTGGACGATATATCTGGAACAAGCACAAATGCATACTTAGTTAACAATTCAAAATCCAACTAGATGCTAATGCATATCATAAAAACCTACCCAAAATAATAAGCTTTCTTTGTCTCACAAAATTCTCCAACACCAACGTGTGGAAGCATTTCCTTTTGTAGAATCTCTTTCGCATACTTGATTCTCTTGTCTCTACTTACACCAACATTTGCACCTCTCTTTCCAATATAATCTAGTGCAACCTATAGTAGAAAATAGAATATTAAGCCACAAGCTAAAAAGAATTTGAGAAACTTGTAGACATTAACCATGAAATAAATAAAACACCTGTTGATTCTGAATCACAAATGCTTCTTCCAGAGAAGGTCTAAGCAGCTCCATCATTTGAGTATCAGAGAAGTCATAACATATGTGCTCTAGGATGTCTTTATCCGCTACAAACCCGAGAGCCCGGAACACAATAATAATAGGAATTTCACCTTTAATATACGGAAGAGTAGCTTTGATGTACTGTCCCGAAGAACCCTGCGATAACAGAAATGCATACAAACAAAATGAAACAAATAGCAGACACTACATGAACAAAAAAAAATTTACTGACACAATCGGTTCCATTACCCCTTTAGAACTAGTCCGAGCAAGCATCCGAACAAACATGGTACTGGGCGGCCTGTTTTGAGACTCCGCCATAGACCGAACTTCAGCCACATAGGCGTACTTGTTAGGCTGCCTCTTCTTGAACACATAGACATGGTTGGTGCTCATCTTCTCTTGAGCAATAAGAACCTTTTCACTCCCATTTATAATAAAATATCCACCTTGATCGTATGGACACTCTCCCAGCTCAGTTAAATCTTTCTCCGAATTCTGGTACAGCGTGCAATAACTAGACCGAAGCATTATAGGAACCTGATAATATACAACAAAACAAATTCAACCAAGTTGTTGACTAGCAGTGTTATATTCATCCATCATTACTGAATTAATCACATTACACACCTTCCCAATGAATACTTTGGTGAAATCCTGGGTCTCAGTGAGTTCCTCGCCATCGTGCCCTTTCTTTATCATCCTCTTTGAGACATCAACATACAAGGGTGCTGAGTACGTCAGATTTCTAAGCCTTGCAGCTTTGGGAAATAAGGTTGCAGTTTCTCCATCGGATTCGGTCATCATGGGCTTACTCAAATAAATCTGACCAAAGCTAATCTTGCATACCGTCTGCAATCCAACCCAACAGTGTTACAGCTCCAAACAACATAACCATGAAAAATGCTCCAAGTTCTACTATCTTTTCATCCAAATATTCAACTGTGAAATAGAAACCCTGGATCCCAATTGCTTGTCCAGCTTTAATTTTTTGCACCAACTATTACCCATAAAATCATCGAAACTACGAAGCTTAAATTCTTTAATAAGACTACTACTTGATCGAAGACAACAGTATTAAAGGTCCAGACAAACTAACCACGAAAATGCTCCAAAATCTACTTCAGTTTCGTAACAAAAATCAACAATCAGAATGGAAACCTAGCTCCCAATTGCTTATAAAATTGTTGTTTCGTGCACCAAGGATTACCCCTAAAACCACAAAAACTACGAAGCTCAAATTCGTTAACAACAACACCATTTAATAGAAGACTACCATTTGCAAAACCCGCCTAAAACCCCCGTTTGGTTCCCTAGAGAAAACGCAGGCAATTTCACACCCATAATTTCCCGGGAGGGAACCCTACCTCGGCGAAATCGGGCTGGTGCCCCGGGTTGTGCTGCGACTCGGGCCGAATCTCGATATCGGCCGACTCGTCGACAATCTCCTGCATTGTGTTCTGAATGAACTCATCGAACGAGTCGAGCTGCTGGCGCACCAAGCCCTTCTCCTCGAAGTAGGCGGAGATGACGGCCCACGCGTCCTCCTGCGTGATTTCATCTTCATCGTCGTCGTCCATGTACTGCTGATCGTCGTACTCGTGCTCCTCCTCCATGATTTACGGCGGAGGATTGGGATTGGAAACCCTAGGTCCAGGTCCGGTGGAATTCTCTGCGTCCGATTGAACGGTGTCGTTTCGAAGTGCGAGCGAAACCCTAGCGGAGCTTTTTCGCTGTCGGGGTTCGGAGGAGTACTGCAGAGTTGGAAAAATGAAAGTTTTGACGAATGAAGTGCGCTTTTATTCAGTGGGGGACAAAACGACGTAGAGATTTAGGCGGTTTTGGCCGTAAGAGAGAGAAACGACATTGACTCTGGTAGTCGATTAGAGATCAATGCTATTTAGCTAATGCCAAACTATCATCTTCATATTCTACAAAATGTAATTTTGGTGAAAACTTTCTTATAATCCATCTCTTAATCTTTTGAGAACGGGTCTCAATAAGCATGTTATTGGTCGAACAGTTCTCAAAGGGGTGTGTTATCCACACACCCCTTTTTACTTCTTTCACATTCCTTATTAATTTATATCCTTTGTTTTTTTTCAATTCATCCGATCCAACGGCCGAAAATTAAAAGGGTGTGAGAGAAGTAAAAAATGATGTGTGGATATCACATCCCTTCTCAAAAGATCAAGGTGGAATGAATGAGAGCAGCAATGGCCGAGATATTTTTTGTTCTTTTTTGTACATTTTTCTTTTATTTCTCTTACCATTACAACAAACTATCATATTCATGTTTTTCAAAATATATGTTTCCGTGCAAAATCTATTATAATTCGTATTTAAACACTTGCAGTCAATGATTTAAAACCTAAATTTAAATATATTTGAATCATTTTTTTGTCAAAATTTCTTTTATCTACATCTAAACTACATATTAATAGAACTATCTTTGTCAACCAAAAGAGGGTGAAAGAATGTTTAGCAAAACAAAATTTTGCCATTTTTTTAAGCCTCACCTACATGTGATTTTAACCAAAAAAAATATATATATATACACTAAATATACATTTTAACATCTCTATATTTTTCACTTATTTTTTACTTTCCGGCTTAAATATTTTACTAAATATACAGTTGTTGCTCAATAAATCGTAAATCCGTTTCCATATACACTATATAGATTTTCTTAATATTCACGGAAAATATTTCGAGAAAACAAAAAAAATTCATTTTTTACAAAAAAACGTGAATTAACACTCATGGTTTTCAGTCGGTTTTCCAAATTCGTACATAAATCACCATTCAATCTATTTATTTTCAACTTCACCTTCATTGTGAAGTTTTGAAAACTAAGGTGAGACTTTCCCTTTAGATTCTTGAGTGTAGAACCCCATTTGACAATGTTCTGGGCCTCACTACTATATTTTTCACTTTTTTTTTTGTTTTTGGCTTAAATATTCTACTAAATGTAGATTTGTTGCTCAATAAACTATAAAACAGCATCTATATTCTTTAAAAAATTTAACTTAATGCTGAGGGAAAATTTTGTGAAAATAAAAAATTTGCATTTTTGTCGAAACACATGGGTAGGAGGGCTCGACACATGAAAATCAAGGTGGAGTTAGCTCACACACGATGGCGTGGGGCCCACCCACGCGCATAGCCAAGAGCCAAATAGCTCATTTTTCCTCCAAGCTGAGCTGTTGGATTTCTAATTGTTTACACGTGGCGCAATCTAGGGCAACATAAATAATTTTGAAGTTCATCGGTCATGATTATTCTAAAGGTTAAAAATTCCAAAATAAATACCCATATTTTATGGGTGGACTTGCACAAAGATAATTACTGTTCAGAGTGAATAATAAGGACAATTACATTGCCCTTACCCTCTTAAAGCGTGTGAACTTACTCTTAGATTATGTAGGAAGCTCCTCTTTACTATTGAGTATTTTACTATAAACATGTTAAAAAAAATTAAAAATTCAAGTGTTATTTGAAAAAATCAAATGCTTCACCATAAAACGGCTAAACGTGGTAAAAAGGTTTTTAATTATCAAAAATTTGTTTTCAAAAACAATCTCAAACTGACGGTGTGATATTTTTTACCTTTGACCAAATTCATGTTACAAACACAATCAACATGATAAGAATTGATCATGTGGTGTGCATGCATGCAATCACATAAAATAAGTGGATCATGCTATGAATCACATGATCCCTTAATTTGTAGCATGATAATACATCTATACAAGTTCATACACAAAATCTTCATCAAATCTTTGCACGTAAAAGGAAGCCACGTGTCAAAATCTGGAAGGACTTGAAACAGGTTTAGTCGGTGCAGGACCCTTTTTTGTGTAAATGGCGGATTTGTATTCCATCCGGATCTGTGGAATCCTAGGATCCTCACATCTTAGTCATTCATCGTGCATCATATGGACAAAAATCATTTGATTTTCTTATTTAAAATTAAACACAAATAGTACATGACGAAAACTGACCACACAATATACAATAAACGACTAGGATGCTAGGATCCCCACAAAATGGGCCAGGAGAGAATAATCCTCTTCCGTAAACGGCTAGTTTTGCAGCAGCGCATGATCTTCATACTTTTGTGCAGGTAACCAAACCATTCTTGGTTTAAAGAAATACAAAGAAGACAAGTGCCCCTCCACCTCCCCACCTCCTATCTGTCCTCCTAACACACTCTCTACATCTACCCTCTTTTGCTCTAAATATACACTTCAGCATTTGGACTTCCCTAGCTTACTTCTTTGTTTTGGTCGTAAAACTGTGTCGTTTAGGTTAACTTCTCCATGACTAAGAACAGGAGGATCTTCACCACTGTGCTGAGACTGCTAGCCTTGGCTGCGACTGTTTCTGCCACCATAGTTATGGTCACCAGCCACGACTCTACCAACGTCTTGAACTTGACCTTCAAGGCCAAGTACAACCATTCTCCGGCTTTCACGTAAGTTTACTCTTCTAGTTTCTTCAAGTTTGTAACAATTTCGTAAACGTGAATTAGGTCTATTTGTTAAAAGGCAATATGCATGTTCCCTTGCATTCGAGTTCTATGTCGACCTCTCTCTCTCCGATGATAGTCCATTTTTTCCTCGTAATTAATCATCGTCTTAGTGTCCTATATAATTTTTTCTTATCATATTTTGTTTAACTTTTTTTTTTTTAAAATCATGGAAAAAAGGTACTTTGTGATAGTGGAGGCAATTATAAGTGGATACAACCTTATAATCCTGCTTCTTTCTTCCAAGGGCTCACTTTGGCGCGTGGTTATCATTCTAGATGTGGTAATAATACCACATTTTCCCTTCATTTTCATAGTTTAAGTAAACGTCTTCCTTTCTTAATTCTGAAATAGTTACATGTTTACCAATATGAATCGGATAAGGATAAGGATCAAGGATAAGGATTTTGCATGAAACAGAAACACTAAAATGACCGTGTTCTAAACCAATCATATACAATGTCATGTGGAAAAGTTTGAACATGTGGTGACACGTGATAGACTAATAGACATGCATGGGCTAGACACCTCTACTTTAGCGTTTTTGTTTCATGTAAGTCTCTCTCCGGCTCGAGAACTGTCAATCTAATTTCCAACTTAATAGAAACTGAGGGATTGAAATTGGTTCAGGTTGCAGCTCTTCTTCTTACTTCAAGCATGTCAGCTGCCTTGGCGATAGCTCAAGTGGGCAAGAAAGGGAACACTCATGCTGGTTGGCTGCCAATTTGTGGACAGGTCTCCAAGTTTTGCAACCATGTCACTGGAGCTCTTGTTGCTGGCATCCTTGCAGCAATGTTTTACTTTGTGCTTAATCTGTTTACCCTTTACAATGTTCTTAATCCTCTATTTGTGGTAAAACCTAATTAATTACCATGGGAATTTTGATGGTTAATTTCCATAATTTTGTTCTTGCTTTCTGCTTAGCTTTTCCTAATACTGTAAAAAGATAGTAAAAGTGTAATATTGTCCTTGAATGGCAGTTTGGAATTACGAAAAAGTCCTTTTCATATTTTATTTTTTCATGCTATGTATGAAGAAAGATTCAAGGAAACTGTGATTATCTGCCACCTGTTTATATCTGTTTCTTGATATTTTTTTTGTCAGACGAAAGTACTTCCATTGAAAACTAGTACAAGAAAGAGAGCTGCAACTCAAAATATATATGGAGGCTCACACAAACTTAGGCGCGTAAGTATAAAAAACAAATAAAAAACCCTAATCTAAAGTAGCATAAACCAAGTTATTCAATACTACAGTCTGGTAGTATTCTTTTTCATTTGGAAGTGAGAGGTCTTAGATTCGAATATCGTGGATGACGAATTCAATACCAAATTAGGCTACCCTTTATGTGGCTTTACCGAACTTTTCCTCATATATAAAAATATCGATGTATTCAAAAGTAGCATAAACTAAAGTGACTTGTCTCATTGACAAAAAAAAAAAGTGACTTGTCTCACTGTCTAAGGTCAAGTGTGATTTTGATGTGTGAAAATTAACATTTGTTCTCAATAACGTAAGGGTGGTGCTATATACACACTTTTTTTACTTTTTACATATTTTTTTTAATTTTAATCATCGGATTAAATAAATTGAAGAAAATCAAATGACAGAAATTAATAAAATGTGTATGAATAGCACCCTAAGGCATTATCATAGAGTCTCTTCTCAATGTTTAAAATTTCCGGCATTGAAACCCTCACAAAAAAAGATATCGCAGTAGTAAAATTTCTCCAACCATATTTAAATCATCAAAAAATCATTTCTTAGGTAAATTTCTGACCTTCACAATTGCCCATTGCTGATGACAGGGACTTTCTCGTATACAGAAGAACTCTGTCTATATCTTTTAGGAAGGGAGATGGATTGTCTGCCCTCCCATTTCCATACTCTTCTCATCCCCTCCTATTTTGTCTGGTCACGGTTAAGCCACGTCAATAAAAAGTAATAAGAATATAAAATGTTGACTTGCCTTAACCGTAACCACACAAACAGAAGGGGATGGGAAGTGTTGGAAGAATAATGCAAGCTTTTGTCTAGTTTTGATGGATAACAGCTCAGCTTAGGCAGCTTTCGGCTAGTCTTAGTGCTAGTGTTAGCTGTTTGCTTTAGTCATGGTGTTTAATGTTTACTTTAGGCATAGTTAAGTGATAATATTCCCTCATCGTTGTAAAGCTAGTTAATGGCTTAAGTTAGAGAGAGTGGAGGTCATCATCATGCTTGCTTAGCTGCCATTGTCCTCTACCTTTTGTCCTCCATTTAAGAACTTAGGCTTCAATTCCGGATGAAGAATCCAACATCTGTCTTTTATATGGCCAAGAGAATCACAGTAGTTGCACTTTAAATCTGGTCCTTTTCCCTTGTAAACTTTGCTTTCAGGACGTTTGTTGCTAGAGACATAAGCCCTAGTCTTAGAAACGTTGTATTTAGTCTCTTAATTCATGACTTTCCTCCTTACTTCTTCCCTTTAGATTATGGCACACACACTAGTGAGGAAGGGAGTTCAACATTCATTAAGATGTGACTTCTGAGATCTTTGAACTCTGGACCTAAGCTTGCCAAGAGTTGAAAAATCTTGTCTTCTTATACTCTCTTGATCAACACAATGGCATCAGTGGTATGAGGACGATAAACATCGAGCTCATTCCACATGTTTGTAAGACTGCCAAGGTGTTGAACAAATGCTTTGCTTTCTTGTTGTAGACTTGCCAGATTTTTCTTAAGCTGGAAGACACGGGCAACATTATTTTGATTTCCATACATCTCTTTTACTTGCTTCCAGAGATGCATGGATGACTCGGAATAACTGAAAATTTCAGCAATCCTTCGCTCCATTGAATTAAGCAACCAAGACATGACCAACTGATCTTTGCACAGCCACGACTCGTATGTAGAAGAAGTGACTACTGGAGCTTCAATAGCACCATTTACATAGCCAAGCTTTGATCTTCCTCCAAGTGCAAGAGATATTGCACGACTCCAGGGAAGGTAGTTGAATTCATTCAACAAAACAGAACTGAGACGTTGATTAGGATTGACCTCAACGTCAGAAAATGCTGGAGCATCCATCGAGCTTTCAGTTTCAGAAAGTTTTTCAGCCATCTTGGCTTAGAGCAAAAGAAACTTAGCGGAAACGATTACTAGAATCAGGAATTTAGAGTTCCTGCTCTGATACCATATTGAATTTTTGATGTATATTTTATATATAATACAGTTACAAAATCAAACATATATAGAAGAAGAAACGGGAAAGAAAAATGGAGGACAAAAGGTAGAGGACAATGGCAGCTAAGCAAGCATGATGATGACCTCCATTCTCTCTAACTTAAGCCATTAACTAGCTTTACAATGATGAGGGAATATTATCACTTAACTATGCCTAAAGTAAACATTAAACACCAGGACTAAAGCAAACAGCTAACACTAGCACTAAGACTAGCCGAAAGCTGCCTAAGCTGAGCTGTTATCCATCAAAACTAGACAAAAGCTTGCATTATTCTTCCAACAGGAAGAGTATGGAAATGGGAGGGCAGACAATCCACCTCCAGAAGGAAGAATGCAACGCCCGTTGAATCTCTGCTGCAGGAAAACAACATCGGCAAACAGCATACCGCCGCTGGGGATGATGGATGATGATGTTCCAGGAAGGGCAGTGGAGTAAAAGTCTATTCTGTGACTTGCATAAATATTTGGAAGTTCAACGAACCATGTACCGGTCCGAGCCCTGTAAAGATCATATGCATGAGGCAGCAGACGGATTATGATGGTTCCCAAGTAAAAGGCGGAGGCCAGAGCCTTTTCTCCTGAATTGAAGAACAAGTTGAACAATATCTAAGGGAGCAGAAAACCATCCAGGACAAAGCTGGCGTAAGAGCTGAGGTACTCCCTGAGAGGGTGGTACTCGTAAGCAAGGAAGAAAATGCCGATAATATCGGTGAAATATCGCCGATATTATCGGTTTTTCGCGCAATGGATATTTTAATAGGTATCTGAATGGTTTTCGTCAAAATAGCGCGATATTATCGATAATATCGTGATATTTTCGATAATATCGTGACATTTTCGATAATATCACGATATTTTGGTTTCTCGACACTCACAACCTCGCCGGAGAATCGGAATAACTCCGAGCAAGAACGAAACCTGCAACCAAACGGAACAAAATCATCACTATCTTTCAACAAAAATCACCACTTTATACCAAAATCAGTGACAAAATTACACTAATCCGAGAAGCAAAGGCTTGAATTCGAGCAAGATCTGGAAGAAAACAGTAGAAGCTGAGAAATCGAGTACCTGACCGGCAGTTACAGTGCTAAAGATCATCATCTTTGGAAGGCCGCGGATCGGACGGAGCTGAGAGATCAATGAGCAAGCATTTCACAGATCGTATTCGATCAGCGGCTGAAAGAGAGGAGAGAGAGAGAGAGAGAGAGCGCGTCAGAGGGAAGAAGAAGGTGAAAAACTATTGAGGAACAGAGACGCATCTGTGAAGATGAGGGAGGAGACGGTGCGGGGAGAAAGAGATAGAGACTTTAACATACCACCCGAGGTGGACGGGTAGTGGACGGGAGACTTAAACATACAAAACCATTGGCTTTGATGGTTGTAACTTGTAATTATGAGGTGGACAGGTGACGTGAAAGAGGTGAGGTGCACCTCTGATGGTTTTAACTTTTAATAACGAAGGCCATCCATTTATATTTTTAAAAGTTTAGGATATATTATATATATATATATATATATATATATATAAATGTTATATAAATTATAAATTATTTAGATAATATTTTGTTTTTTTTTTACTAAGCAAGCAGATTATATTCGAACCCGCCCTTTGTCAACACGCACCTGGGCTTTATCCAACTCGCTACAGATGTGTTTGTGATTACATATTCAGCCTGTAATATTTATATGGTCGTTAAGATGTCTGCAAGGCTTGCAAGCTAATATTTATTATCTAGGATAAATTTCTATATTTTAAAAAACACTAAGGTGAAAATTTTGAACCTCATAGGAACTCTATGTGGTACTAAGTTACTCATGTATCTTACCATGAAATGTATAAAGTGTAAAATATTGTACTAATTCATTATATATAAATGATTATGGTGTGTTTAGACTTCTTTCATTAATTACTACATATTTTATACATTCACAATGTTTGTCAGCTCGCTATATAATCAACTTGATAATGTTAAATCCATCATGCAATGCATTTCCTTCCAATTTTTTGTGATAAACTAATAGATAATTGACTAAATAAACATCCTGCAAAGTTTTAATAAAAATTTCCAAGTTTTTCTTACAATTTCCGTGGTTTCCATATAATTTTTATCGATATCGATATTATCCCGATATTTCCATCGATATTTCCGTGTTTTCAGACTACCGATATTTCCGATATTACCGATATTTAATACCTTGCTCGTAAGCAATAGGGTGGAGACTGACACTTGGTAAGGTGGTGGTGGCGGGGATTGCGATTTCTTAGAAAAGGCCTGTGTGATTCCAGGTAGGAGTTGTTCGACAGGTACACAAACCAAACTGTAAGTCCACCAGCTATATATTGCATAAACAACTTTCCACTCAGAATCTCTCAAGCTCTTCTGATTTCCATCGCATTGTCTTGCGGACCACGTCAGTTGGAGAAGACAGCAAAAGGAGAGCTACCATCATTAACATCCTGACTATTACTCATTCACTTGAAGCCATCCACCAGTACCAAGAAAAGTATCCCGGTGGATGATGTGGTGGTTTGGCACAAACATTGCTTTAAAGTTGACCAGAAGCGGAATCATGTATCCCAGAGCAAGAACAATAAGCGTCATAATTGAAATGACTGGAAGAACATCTGGGTGCTTCTTCACGCGGAGGAGCTGCAATCCGATAAGGACGCATGCGAGGGTTTTGGAAATGAGAACCATAACGATTTCCAAGTCGATTCTTGAAATAAATGCTGCAGCTTGGTTATAGTAAATTGAATTCGATGAAAACTGAATTGGTTAAAAAAAAAAAAGGGTCTAACCTTCCCCTTGTACTTT